GTTTCAACGACCACCTACTTTTTAGTTACCGACAAGAGAAGCATGTGCCTCACTGCACTCTTTCTAGCTCTGGATCCTGCAGTAACTAGAGCAGAGAAAAGCCAGGTATCCCTTTTCCCTCCTCGCGTTCACTCTCCCACCTCTGGCAGTGGCCTCTGTGGGAGAGGACATTACTAATTACGAAAAAGTGAAAGTTCTAATCACTCCTAACTGGATATGCCTAAATTCTAATATGTAGATATATATAAAGTTTATAATAAATCTTATATACATCTGTCTAAAAGATGTATACCACAGCTTTAGGGAGATAAATTCTGTGGCAATAGGAAATATTAATCAGAAAAAAACATACATGCTGTGGCATGAAAAAATTTACTGGCACTAAAAAAAAGCTAATCAAGAAGCTCCTAACGCTGACATATAACATTCTTTAAAACACCTGGTAACCGGAGCCACTTATTTTTTAATCAAGTTGTTATATATTAATAAAATTTCATATATTTTCTTCACTTCAGAAAAGTTTATGTATCTTTTCAAATCTCCTTAAACAAACTTACTATTCTATGATACATATGAAATACGTATGGTTTCAGAAAATGGTTTCAGAAATTCCAATATTCCTCCTCCAGTGTTTATTCAGTCAGGATGAACTCTGTATTGTTCTACAGAATTCATAGAGAATTCTGAGAAAATATTCCCTAACTTCTCCCTTCTTTTTGAGACGGAGTCTCACACTGTTGCCCAGGCTGGAGGTGAATGGCACGATGTCGGCTCACTGCAACCTCCGCCTCCCAGGTTCACACGATTCTCCTGCCTCAGCCTCCTGGGTAGCTGGGACTACAAGAGCACACCACCACACCCGGCTAATCTTTTGTATTTTAAGTAGAGTTGAGGTCTCATTATGTTGGTCAGACTGGTCTCAAAATCCTGACCTCGTGATCAACCCACCTCAGACTCCCAAAGTGCTGGCATTACAGGTGTAAGCCACCATGCCCGGTTAACTTCTCCTTTTTTTTTTTTTTTTTTTTTTTGAGACAGAGTCTCGCTCTGTCGCCCAGGCTGGAGTGCAGTGGCACGATCTTGGCTCACTGCAGCCTCCGCCTCCTGGGTTCAAGCAATTCTCCTGCCTCAGCCTCCCAAGTAGCTGGGACTACAGGCATGCACTGCCACATCTGGCTAATTTTTGTATTTTTAGTAGAGATGGGGTTTCACCATGTTGGCCAGGATGGTCTCAATCTCTTGACTTCGTGATCCACCTGCCTCGGCCTTCCAAACTGCTGGGGTTACAGGCGTGAGCCACCATGCCTGGACCAACTTCATCTTTTTAACTGAACAGTGAACACAGAAAGGACAGCGCACATATGACACGATGACCACAGTACCGTATTTGGTTTTTAATCCTTCCTTATATTTTCCTTTTTATACTGTACTCTAACACTTATCTTCAAATTCTCACAAAATTAAAAATAAAACACATTAAGAGATTTTAAAATAAACTTCATATGTTTTAGAAAGCTGCCATTGCACTTTTAAGTAACATTTAAATGTTGATAAATGTAACAAAATATAGCAAGATTCTCATGATTAATATTATAAAGGACAATATTTAATTTTACAAGAATTATTTTTTAAATCTAGAACATGTGCCACACATCCCCAAGAATTTTAAAAGCAGTATTACAACAAGATTATGTGACCCTAAGGTAATTTGTGATCCTTTAAAACTAAACAGCTAAAGATGTATATGCATGTGTGTACACACACGTGCATATACACACACATCTGTGGTTCTCTGCTGAAAATATATACCTAAAGGTAAGGGTGTGTGTCTGTGTATGTATCCACACGCATGCACTGCACACACACACTCTTGGTCCTATGTTGAAAATACAGACCTCAAGTTATATAAGAAAAAGTATAGCAGGCACCTAAGGCACTGACCAACCAAATGTTAATCTGTCATCTTTACAGACAACAAACAATTATAATTACTTAATACATATGTACCTATAAATGTGTAATTATGTATTGATTAGTTTAGCTTTTAGCAAAGCACAAGGGTGTATTACATTTCTCCAGAGTAAGATAGTATTTTCAAAAATTACACAGATAAACCATTAGCACTGAGTGAATTTATTTTCCCCAACAGTGCTAAAGATATGCAAAATTTTCATTCTTTAGAGTTGCATAGTAAATGATTAACACCAGCTCTGCTCATTATCTCGCTTAACAAAACTTCTCTAAAAACAAATAAATCAAAAATGCCTCCAACATTCTTGAATAAATAAATTATAGACGTATTCAGTGGCAGCCATGATATTTTAAAAAGCTTGTGCAAGCTCATTGTACAATTTTATTACAAAACGGCATTTGATAAAACAAAAAACTGTCTACTTTTTCATTTCTACCTAGTTTTACTAGCAGGAATGCCTCTTCAAAGATGAAGAAACTTTATAATAGCAACATATCTAGGAAGTGTTAACCCTGTGTTCCAACAGATTATAGTCGCTGCTAATTAGGAGCTGATACTTCTCATGAAGATACTTTCAGGAGCCTAGACTATTTTTCTCTCCTAATGAGAATAGAAGGATAATGACAGCTAATAGGACCCATCACTATATGAACAGAGACCATAAATGAGAACGTTTATTTAATGGGAAACATAATTCTTGACTTTAAAAATATGTATTTAGATAGGCTGCAGAAATTTATTCTCATTTTTATTTCCACATAACCCCCACAACTTTTCCAGCAAGCAAATGCCATGAAAACAACTGACAACGGCATCCTGGGCAGGCATGTTTTCAGCAAAAACAGGCATCATAGAACAGTTGTACCTACACTTTATACGTTAAAAAAATTCTCAGTACAGAAATAGTACTAATTAAGCAAAAATGTTAAGGGGAAAAATTAATGAAGTGATGAAATTGCATTATTTTAAAGTGAAAATCAATGCATTCTAGGACTCAATGAAGCCCACTAGGTAATAAGTCTAAAGCAAGCTAAAATCTAAAATTTAAGCTCCAACGAGTGAACCTATATTTTATTTAAACAACCATTAGAAAACCCTTTTCTTTTATTACTGACAAAAGTTATAATGCTAGAAGATCTAATGTAGAAAGCCCTTTATAATTATTCTAATCCTATCTTTAGAAATATCCTTCAAAATAATTCTACCTAAAATATTTTGCTATCTCAAAAACCCCACCCACAAAATAATTGAATGCAAAACACAGTAAGCTCTCCATTGCTGTAATCTAAAAGATTTTTCTTGAAATTAAAAAAAAAGCATGTAAATTAAGGTGAGTGAAACATGCTTTCATCTAGCAGAGTAATATGGTAGCTATTCATCACCTGAAGTCATAAAACACTAGGTCTCGTCCTTAGCATATTCTAATGAAGCCTATCATGCAAATGAGAGTGACCTTTTCCTTGCATTCTGCAAGTTCACATTTATTCCAGGAGTACATAGAGTTTGCCAATACAAACTAGCCAAAGACTGCGTAATTACTGTAATCAATTAGTAGTTAGTGTCATTCTGCTCATTTTCAGCTAATGTCAACTAAGCCATTTTTGAGAGAAGCACCCTTGACAACAGCTTTTCTGTTACTGTTTTCAAAATGTGGGGAAAAGTGGAAATATTAAGACAAATATACTCAAATTTTCCAATATGGCCACAAGGTTGCATGCCTCCAAAGAATGTTAAGATTCAAGACAAGCCTCTAAAGTTGATCATGGACAAAGACTCTCTGGTAAAGTTGCATATCCTTAAAATGACATTGAAGTTTTCTGCCTATACAATTAAACATTAATATTTAAATATTTAAATGAGGGACACTCTCCTGTGCAGCAGTTCAGACTTGGTACAACTTGGGCACTCTTCTCAACGGTTGAGTAAACAGGCCATACCCTCTGCTCAGAAACAGTCTATTGTGTAGACAGTTATGGATAGGAAACATTACGGCAGCCAGTAATTAAAGTAAAAACTAATACTGTCTCAGAGATGGGGAATTTTGTTAAGGAAAATCATTTATCATGGCTTACAGTTCTCACAACTGAAATGAATTATCTCCTTTTTAGCACATATCCATTTTAAGCTAGTATATTTTACTCAACTAAAATGAGGCCCACTTGCCAATCTGAATTGTATCAGCTACTAGGCATGGAAAAACAACATAATAGGTCTTGGAAAATATTCTACACATATCACAACAGCATAAAACCTTAGAATTTAAAAGGAGGGCATCAAAAGCAAATATCAATTGAAATTAAAGACTGTTGCACCACAAGAAAACCAGATTATTAAAACAAATATACAGTATTTTCCTTCAATACAATTGTTTTAAAAATATACACGCAGAACTAAAGGAAAATACTTCTCCAGTTGCTAGCTGCTAAAGAAAAATTCTAATTTCATTTCAACCAATGTTCTATCATTGTTAACTAGTCAATATGTAAAGGATGTTATATTCAATCCTCACTTCTAAAAATATTCAATATTTGGCAACTAAGAGGTAAGTAGCCCATAAACTTGTAACAGAAAATAAAGAGATCATTCCTATGCTAGAAAGAAAATTTATGGTATCGTAGAAATTATCAAAAATGTAAAATAATGATATTAAGATGACTAATCTCCCTGCGATTCCTGCACATGAAGAAACATCTCAACTAAATGTCAGCCTTGTTTGCACATGTCAACCTAGAACACCCGAGGTCACATTTTCCTTGAATCTGTGCAATCCGGGGTTATCAACCGAAAGCTCTGTCCACTATGGGATTCCTGATTTTAAATACAGAACAGTGAATACACACACACACACACACACACACACACACACAATATAGACACATAAATGTGTGTGCTGGTGTGTGTACTATGATTCTCTCAAAAAAAAAAAAAAAGCCACACATTGACACTCAAAATGGTAAACATAATTTTTAAAAAGGCAGAAAACCACACTCACGTGCCAGGTGAGGACAGTCAGTTTATTTCCTGGCACTGAAACTATCCTCCTTAAAGGCAATGGAATTACACTCTCATTTTAAATTAAAAACATTTATAAGATTATGGACCTATAGAAGAGAAAACTATCATACTACAGATATTCTGTTTTTTACTTTAAAACCTGTAATGATGCATCACAATAACTTTCCAAGACAACGAATGATTAAAAAAAACAACTAATACCTAAAACAACTAAGTTTTCACAGGTGTCCCAACAGTATTCGTGAGCCGATTGAGGTACAAGGTCTACCTTTTCAAGTGCTTACATAATTGTGCAATACTGGGGTGAGAGGTGATGGACGGGACCCTGGTTTCAAAGTGTTTGTTTCCATGGTGATATTTAGAGTAAAAAGAGCAATCAAGTCTCAATGAGTGGCGTGACATTGAGGATTTACTGGTTTCCTTCTGCATACTGCTGGAACCAGTCGCCTCACGGAGTGTCGAACACGTACGACTTGTCAACACTGACACAGAGCCAAACAGCAGGAAGATCGTTCTTTTCACTCTTGTCAGAAGAATGAACCGATGTGGGCCTTTGACAGTTACCGAGAGGGGACAAGAGCAAACAAGATGAGCAAAAAGAGAAAAAAAATAACCAGTAAATTTGAAGGGCCTAAGGCTTCTCAGAAAAAAACGATGCCAGGAACTGAGCAAGGAGTAGTTGCTTGACTTGTCTCAAAGAAAAGGCTAACATGAAATGCTTCACAAGAGATGAAGCTCACAGAACACCACTGCTCAACTGCGGGATGATGTCTTCATGGTAAGCACTTAAGACAACTTGTGACCAAAGTCCTGTTACGACACTAATTGTCCATGAAAGCTGACCTGCAGCAAAGCAGCACAGTTCAGTTCCAATAGTCCAGGCTCACGAGTATTAACATGATTGTAGATGACAAAAGACATTCACATATCACAAAACACTGAAAATGCTAAGGATCATTGCTTAGTGCTTGCTAAAAAGAGACACTTTTCAGACTTTATACTTCTTGACTAGAAATCACAAGATTCTAAATATAATATCCTAGATTTTCTAGATTTTTTTAGACTGCAACTTTTCTAAATTGAATGATAAGAATAGCAGTAACATTTTTTAAAATTAGACAGGGATTGTGTAGTAGTACTTTGAAAAGAGGAAAAGAAAACTAGATGGGGTTACTTTTGAAAGAAAAAAATCTTATAATGAAAAAAATTTAAAAATAATATTGAGCTTCTGGTAATGTATACTCAATGAATGATTTAATGTCGCTAAAGGGTTTCAATTTGTTAAGAGTGCTTAGTACAGAAAGAGGTTTGGGCATGGATTACATACTGTAATTCACAATTATTGCAGCATCGCCATTTTTCTATAAGCTAATAAAGTACATAAAGTACCTTTTAATGCAGTAATTTAAAACATTAGCTAACTTTAAATTATCTTGCTTATTATATCTTTAAAAAAGCCATAGAGACAAAAACTAGTATTTTAATTGATAAATTAACAGTTAAACATTTTTTACTTGAAGTTGAGAAATGTGTTGAATAAAACCATGTCTATGTGTAATTCCAAAGTATATTAAATCGTATTTAACTTTTAGACTGCTTCAATGTTTAGACTGATTGAAATATAAAAGTATAGAAAATTAAATTGATTAAACATTGAACCTATTTTATCATCTATTAGATTTCAAAATTACACACTTTAAATATTGAATAGGTTTCAAAATTTAACAATGTAAACACTCACATTTTAAAATAAAAATAAAAATAGGACCCTGGAGAAAAGTGAACACTATGATAGGTAGAAAAACTACCTGACAGACTTAGTAATTTCGATTTTGGGGGGAAACAGGGGGTCACTACTCACAGGCACGTTTTAAACAAAGTCAAAATGTTAGATATCAATAAAAGAAAATTCTATGAGAATTACAAAGCATTTTACTATCAGTTCCTGGTTATCCACTGAAGGGCAATCTGAAACAGGGCTTATCTAAGGGTCAGCACTGCTTTCTAGTTGGACAACCAGCACACATGCCGTTCCTTTACTCACACTTTTCTGGTGAGATAGGAAGAACTCTCATCTTGGCTTAGAGGAAGGTAGACATCTCCCATCAACAATTAACACCTATTTTTCTTAAATATTAGCTTTTGTTGATACCCTCAAGAGAGAGATTCATGTCCACTCTAAAATACCAGGAAACCTCCGAACCAAGTCCACAGGCAGGAAAGGGCTTTCAGGAGTACTTGTAGCGAACCCTGGTCTTACAGAAAACAGGAAAAACACAACAAAACAAACAAAGCTGGGGAAACACAAGACAGTCTACATGAGTAAGCTTCACAACAGTAAAAAATTTTTAAAGTCTGAAGTTCCCCATTCATTTTCCTAAGATGTATTGAAAATGGCTCCATTATTTAGATTGAACTGAAGTTCTAAATAATGCATATCTACATTCAAATACAGCTAAAACTAAGTCCCAAGTGAAACACTGAAAACGTTCTGATATCACTGAAAACCTACCTAGGTTACTTTGTATAAGCTATTTTAGTCTCTTTACCTCTCTGAGGCTTTAACTCTGTAAAATGAGACATCCCCATTAAGTGATTCTGGTGATTTCTTTCTGTTCTAGGATCTGGCGCATGTTTTTCATGATCTATACCACCAGGGTGATCTCCAGATCACCAGTGTCAAAATGGCCTGGGTTTGTATGAAGCCATGTTTTTGGACCCCATCCCAGGCTGCTAAATTATGGAGACAAGGAATGGACACTGTTTACATCACTGACCTCCCTACCCCAGGGATCATTCTGTATCCTGGAGTTTGACTCTCACTCCTCTATGACTCTGTTATCTCACAAGTCTATAAAATAATATATGACCATTTGGAATAAAGGCTGCCTAATGGAAACATTAGGGATAAAAAAGAACTTGAAAACTAATTAGCAGTGCTTACTACACTCATCTTCTCAAAATACAAGATGTCAAAATTAAAGTTTTCTGATTGCATTACTCCTAATTAGTCATTGAAAATGTGTTTGCATTTCATTAAGTGGGTTTAACCTCAACAGGCTTAGAAACTTCACTCTAAGAAATGAGGATAGAATTGTTTTTGTTCACTTTTTAGAAGCAGGTGAACCATTTAGTTTGACTTTAGTGAAATATGATAAACTTGCCTAAAAAAAATCATGACTAGCCAACCCACAGGATTATCAGATCATAGTATCAGATGGGATCTAATTCGACTAGTACAATCCATGAATGACTCTCCTGAAATCTTAACAATGGTACCATCTTTTTAAATTAAAGGAAACTTATGATTGCAGATTAGCCCATTCCCTTTTGGACAAATTATTATACCATTCCACTTACACTAACTCAAAATCTGTAAACTCCATTATTTTTACATGAATTGCTAAATCAATGCCAAAAACACAGGAGAGCCTACAGAGTTTCGAGAAAAATCAAGATAAAAAATCTCCTTCGCTCCTTCCAAAGAGGTAGTAAAATAAGAGAACAAGAGATGGAATATCTCATAATTAACATTAAAATGTAAATCTGAACAGTCAGTGAAGACTTTATTAAAAAGTTATTTTTCAATTTAAATATATTAATGTACAAGTTATTCAGAAAACAAACCCAAAATATTGTTAAACATCAAAAATAATTCTTAAGGAGGATGATTGGACTTTTATGTCCTCCTTATGGTTTTACTTCATGATCAGCTCAACAAAATGCTCATTTAAACCTTCCTTTTTGTAGTTTCTACAATGGAAAAGCTTTTATATAATACATCATTCTTTTTATAATCCTATAGCCACTTTGGAAAATAGTGGGAAAATGAATACATTTATAGACTAACAATAATTTTAGCCAAAGGTCAAGTTTGCCAAGGGTCTTTGAAGAACTGTACAGTGTTGAACAAGATACCTGTAAAGGGTAACACCAAGAAACAGTGACCAGAGACAGCAAGAGTAAAAGCAGCAGCAACCTGAACCACAAATGAAGAGAATGAAGATTGACAGAGACACAAATATTTGTGAAGGGCAGCAGCTACTTCGGGTAATGACAGAACACAAGGCAGCAATTGCTTCTTTTCTCCAGTCAGGAGGAAAAGTGAAACATCCAAGTATCAACAGGAAGGGGTTAAATAATCTGTCATCGTGCTAAGTTTTTAAAGAGGATGGCCATTCCTTTAATTTTAATCTTGACTGATAATGTAACACAATCCATGTTTTAAAAATCATTCAAGCTAGAGAAGCCATTACAGAGAGAATATTAAAAAGTGTACCCGAGAAACCTTAATTAGAATATTAAAAACCACAAGTAACATGTAGAGCTTCCCAAACACTGAAAATTCTAAATCAATTTCCACGCACAATTTCCTTCCACAGCATTGAAGAGCAGGTACCGTGGTCATGAACATGGTCTCATTGGTGCTGTCCCTCAGGACCAAGAACAGCGCCTGGCACATGGCCTTCCACAGGCATTTGTTGAATGAATACTGGGTCATTACACAACAAACGTGCCTTTCCAACACTACTGGACAAGATTAAACTTAACTATCTAAAAAGTGTCACCTTTTAAGAAGTTGTTCAAAATACTTCAAATTATTGACTATATATTGCATCACTACCAAATTCTATGATCAAATTACCCCTGTCTGTATTGGCGGCCAAAACTGTCACAAGATAATAGTCCTTTTATTCCAATTTTATTATTCTTGCAACTGTTTCTGAAAACAATATGAAAAATATTTTTCCATTCCGCTTATATTTATACTGAATACAGGCAAATACTCCAGACCTAAATTAATTAAATTCAGAAGGATTACCAGCCAAGTGTACAGTCCCTGTGTATGTTGCTTTTGTAAGCCAGTGATATTTTATTAACACATTTTATGAATGAACTTACTTATACCTATGTTCTACCCCTACAAAACACAGCATATGTTACATATACTGAGCACTCCTCACAAATACTTAACAAATTCACAGTAAATAAATGAATGAGGCAACCAATGAACATGCAAGACAAAAACAAAAACAAACAAAAAAAACCACAAACCACATTTTACCTTTCTTCTCTGGAGCATCTAGCACAAGAGAATCTATACTAAGTAAACCATTCCTCTAGTTGAGAAAAGGATTATTAAAAAATCAATGGACAAGAAAAACAACAGAATCAAGCTGACTACAAGAGTGCCTAAGAAGAAGTTGCCTAGGTAACTTCTCATCTTTCACAGGCAATTCTCCTCCTCTGCTAAAAGCTAGCACTTCCCCCAAGGACAAAGTAGATGTTCAATAAACAGTAACCAGTAGTAAGTATATTGTTCTCTTCCACTGATCATCACTCCATAATAGTAATACCTGCCCTCATTTTAGTAGAAGCAACAAATTATGTCTAAAGTACACACTGGTTACTGACCATAAAAATAAGACACTGAGAGGTACGGTAATGAACCAGTAATTTGGACTAGATTCTATATTCAGATAAAAACCTGTCCTGGCACCAAAACTGGAAAACACTGGTTATGCTCCCGTCTTGTCAGCATCACAGAGAGGAAAAAAAAAAATTACAGCAGCTGCTGACATAACAGTGACTAAAAGTGGAAAGGAGTCCCTTCTTTTTAAAAAACCGTACCACTCAATACTGCTGGCTGGTGTTTAGTATCTAAAATTCGCCAGGCACTTAAGTGGTTCTCTTTTAACTTCAAGCGTTTCCTGTTTTCACTTCTGTGCCCTCTTTGTGATAAGCCCCCCCAGCACCGCCCACAGCTTCTCCTTTCCACCCAGCACGCTCTCCACCGGTAACTGCATTCACTGCCAAGCCTTCCACTACCATCTGAGAGAGTCAGAAGCACGCAGGCCTTTCAGGTCGCACCTTCTCACAAGCCCTCAGGCACTTACCTGGCTGCTTCCTGCACATCTCTCCCTCGGTGGAGGTAGGTGGCCCACCAACACCTCAATCTGAATATTTATCAAATTGAACACACTGGAAATCAACCCCAGAAGGAATCTCAGCAGGCACATCATAATCTCTAAGGTGACAAAGCTAAGTGAAAAGCAGGTAAAGCTAGTTACTGCCAGGGCTAAGCCCAGAGCCTATGTTTCAAACAAACTCTTCCTTCTGTCATGCTGCCAGCACACATCCTTCATTCTGGGCTATCTGGGCTATGGTCCATCTCACAGAAAGTGACTATTCATTCATCAAATTGCCCAAACCTAACACCCTCATCTCTCTCCCTACTACTAACTTCCCTACTACTAAGTTCCAAAACAGCCTCTGAATTATCCACTTTGAACTTCGAGATTGTCTTTAATTTATCTGTTACTTCCTATATCAAAGTAATTGTCAAATTCGGTAGTTTCTTCTAACGGTTCTTAATGTCATATTCTCTCTCCATCCCCATTGCTATACTTTCTATCCAAGTCTTCTTATGGTCAAATCCTACAGATTTTTCTAATGTATATTAGAAGAATATAGAGCCTTCCTCAAACCCAAAAAAACAGCTATGAATAACCACATCTGCCACAACGGTCCCGGATAAGGAAGGCTGCGGTAGGAAAGGGCGCTCCTCTATCACTCTCCTTCTCCCCAACACACTGAAGCAAAAAGCTCCTCACCGGCATCTCCACCTGTTGTCTACTTGTCCAAATCCAGCCTAGATACCACAGTTATTTAAAGTATCTTCTTAAAAGAGAATTATCTGAGCCACTCTACTCCTCTATGAAAAACGCTCAATGATGTCATCTTCAAATTCATTTCATGCTTGCCATCAGACAGCACTTTCAATAACCCCATCACCTGCAGAATTAATCCTAAACTCCTTACCTGCCGCGCTTGGTGACTTGCTATCTGCATATACCTTTGCTTTCATCTCCCTCCTAACATATATTCGGGGAAGGTTCATAATCCCTTATTCACAATTCTGAAAGTTGAAAAGTAACGAAATGCAAAGTTTAATCAGTTGGTGGCAAAACACTAACATAAAGCTACTCGGAGACCTCATTCGAGCCCCTGTGTTGAACAAGCACCTGTGCTGCCAGAGAAACAGCAATGTACTGGATTACAGGCTGCTGCCTCGGAGACCACCTAGTATTAGCTAATACTTAACACAGACAATATATAACCTTCGCAAAACCCAGAAAACAAATGACCAATAGAACCTGGATGAGGAACCTGGATGACTGGGAGATGCTGCGGTGAAAGAGGGCTCACCTCCATCACTCTCTTCCTGTCCTCTTCATTACCGTTCTGCAGGAGAACTTGACCTTGGTTCACACATCCTGTCTAAAAACTCTCACTGAATCCTTCACCGTTTTCATGATGATCTAAATGTTGTTGTTCTATATTCTATCAAGAAAATCAAAAACCACATTTTTATTTATCTTAGTACCCAGCTAAGTGCTTGGCACATAATAGAAAACCAACATTTGTAGAGCTGAACTGAGTAAATTAATCTTAATTGTTGATGAATGACTTTATTAAATGATTCTGGTTTCCTATTGAGACATGGAAAAAAACGCAAAAAAAAAGCCCTACACTTGTCCACAGATTGACTGTCTTAGAAAATGTCTAAAGATCTTCTCAACTCCAATAAGACGGACCGAAATACTGCACATGCCAAAGACTCTGTGACACCCCCACAACTGACACTGCCGCCAAAGCACTGCACTCCAAACTGAGCATAATGAATCTAGGACCTTTAGATTTCTGCAGAATTGAAACTTAAATATTTCCCTATGGAGATGAAAATTAATGTATACTAATTTAGTAGCCTATGATTCATAATTCAATGTCTAGCCAAATTAGGATTGCTTAGTGGGCCATGCTTTAACTCCACATGTAGGTTACACCATAATTGACAATGTCCTGACAAGATAGGATAAAAACAATCATTGGCAGCAAAACAAGGCATGTTAATGAAATTCCTTCATGTGTAAATTGAGGTTAATACATATATGCGTATTCCAAAATTTTTCCCAATACATTGCTATTTCATATTTCAA